ATCTGTCTAAGAAGCAAGAGTCTGGAAATGCTAGTTTAACTTGTCACGTGACAAATCAGATCTTCAATTAATTTGGCCAAATCAGATCACTTAAAGCTGTTCACACCAAGAACAAGAACTATAATGAGAACTATTTTAGCATCCACACCAACAGACGATACTGTTCTGTTTATTATAAGCATGCGCTGTGGTTATGTTGTCTGCCATAAAATGCTCAAGCTCTTTAAAGTCTTGTGGATTCTGATTGGCTGTCAATGTTTTTATTGTTCATCAGCTGAAAAAAAAAATTGTTCTGAAAGAGATTACAACGATATTGTTCCTCTGTGTAATAAAATGTTAACTCTGAAATGTTCCTTTCATTCTGTTAAAATTACACACAAAATTCTGCCTTTCTCTGCCTATTTCTCTTCATCTTATTCCTTTACTCCCTCACTCACTTACACATTCTTTTATGCTCTGTTGTAAGGTAGAAACTGAGAGTTTGCATGATGGCCTTTTCTCAGACTGAATCTGATGTATACAGATGAACTCAGGAGCCTGCGAGAGCCAGGGAACTTGAGCTTGAAGTATATAATTATAACTGCTTCATTTATATGTTTAAACAACAATAATAATTAAACATGGGGTCAATAAATATTTTCTTGTTTTACAGCTGAAGACCAAAAATGCAAAGAAAATCAGTCACAGTCAAACCAGTCCTGATGAATGAGAAATGAACATGGCCTTCTTGTGCACAAACAGAAAATACAGAGAGCTGAAAAGTTGCACATTTCCATTGGTATGTCTGTATTCAATGCAAAATGGCCACCAAGCGCGTCACTGCTGCCTGAACCCATCAGTTATCTGCTGTGAAGACTGCATTCACAAACAGCTCTACTGTGACAGCTCAGATGTTACGGCCCATAAAAGTAAATTTCACAATTGAACAACTGGAAGATAGTTGTGGAGGGATTCTTTTGGCCCATACCTCCAACAACCCCCAACAAGAATCAATGGTAAGTCCAGAGCAACAATTAGAAATAAAAATACTATATATTGTTTACTGATTTACCACACCCTAAATACATGTTTTGTTTCTCCAGGACATCTACACCAGGTGGTGTGAGGAGGACCATCAGAGACTCCAGCAACCCGAGCCATGGACTGCTCTCACCGTTACCATCAGGCAGGTGTTATCGCAGAACCTGCACCAGCAGACAGCGAGACAAGTTCTTTCCACAGGCAATCAGACTGAACTGAAATCGCACCAGTAACACCACACAGCACACCGCTCCAACCTCATATGCATTGCACCCTATCAGTTACGCTGACTGGACTCACTATTATTCTGCACCCTGACATTCTGTTTGCACTAATTCATACCGTGCTGCACTGCAAAGTTATGTGTGTACTGTGATTATTATTGTTTTCATTTCATGAGCTGTATAGCATAATATTTACCATATATTGTTCTCTACCTGTATTGAGTCCCTTACATATGTGTTGCATATATATTCAGTATTTGTATTTCATATTTATTCATTCATTTGTCATCCATACTGTCATGCTACAGTTTGCACCCAAGACTTTCACCACCTGTACACTTGCGTTCATGGTATTGTGACAATAAAGTTATTTGATTTGAATTGGTCACATGTCTTTTGTTCATCAGTTGTGCTGTAGGGTGCTGCATAACAACTGCAAATTTTGTATGACATGGCAGAAGATTATGATAGGGACATGGATAAGCAAGAAGAGGAAGAAAACCAGGAGAGCTCTGATGATGATAAGGAAACTGGACGTGATTCTTTGGTGCTCAAGACATTTCACCATGCATGCATTTGGGTGGCCTCCTCAGATTAAAATAACATGGTTTTAACATAACCCATTTTTATTTCTCTTGAATATAATTTGTCTTAATACACTAGCTGTCTTTATGCTGTATCTTCCAGTAAAGTATTGCACATGGTGTTGGATAATAAATTATGGTGAATATTCTGTATTAGGGATAGTGTTTGGTAAATACACCATTTAATTTAGTAAACAATACACATAATTTCCATGAGTGTTTTAATTAAGACATGAACATTTGGTCATATTAATGACATTCAGTTAGATGAAGGGCATGCTGAAAGCTGCATTAGAAGAGACTGCATGGACTATATTGCTGCAGGTACTTCATGCACAACTGAGGGTGATGCACCAGGGAAAGATCAACATGAATCCTGTACTGTACTATTAGCAAGATGAGCATGAACATTACTGATGTTTAGCACCTGAGGAGGACAAAGATTAGGAATATTTGACACAGAGACACAAATTAGGTCTTTTATATTATGATTCTTTGCATTGCATGAATTGTATGGCTTTTGCACCATAAACCACACACTGTCTGTACCTTGTCTTACTGAATGACACATTGACTTTGATTGATAGTACAATGAAGTGTCAGTATGTACTGGTTGTTTAAATTGGTGTCTTTGTTTACTGTCAACACTGTATTCTTGCTCCTGATCTAATTAAATAAATGGTGCCCATTCCAAATGGGCACGGATGTAGATATTTTTGTGGGTATATTCTTATTCTAAGATAACCATGACTTGCAACTTACATATTGGCAAGTTGTTGAAAAGACAATCTTAAAAATATGACTCGACACAGTTTGTTGTCCATGATGAGAATAGATCTGTGTATGTTTTACTGCCCTTCCATCCCCAGGGGCTCGGTAGAGTCCCCTGGAAGAGCAAAAAAATTGTGGCTGTAAATCAAAGTCTGATTATAGTGTCAAAGAGAAAATTGGCAGGACAACTACTTATGCAATGTTAATTAAATAATGTTGGACAGTTTTCAAACATATATGGAAAGGTGGTATACATGTGTTTAAAAAAAGTGCTCTTAGCACCAAATACCAAGGTTCAGCCTGCCTCTTAAATATGTCATAAATGTTTGCACAATGAACATGTTTAGATGACCATTTGTTCAAAAAAGATTGTATTTTCCCTAAATGTATTACTTATTATTTGTTGAGTGCAGTGATTTTTTTCTCCAACGAGGGCATAATTCTTCCCATTGTATAGGCTACATTGTTTACACTAATATTAATTGATGTACAATATTTAAACTCAAACGTTTGCATATACTGTGTGAAAAATAAATAATAAAAGTAAAAATGTTTCATTTGCTTACAAAAAACCCCACCTCTGGTGATTATTCAAACATGCAGTATTTTTCTACTATTTAATTTTGCTTCTGTAACATGTAGTGTATTAAAGGTAAACAATTAATCACTTCTCTGTTTCCTGGAAATGGACCCTACAAACTTGCCATTCTTAGATCTGTCAGTTGAACTATAGGAATAAAAAACAAACAAACAAAAAACATCATGAATCACACATTTTGTAGTCATTTTCCAAAGTTTAGTGATATGTAAAACTTTTCCCAGATAAACATAGTGCCCAGAACAGCATTCTCTCTCCAGTTTGTGCCACTATGAAAAGAATGAAAACAACAAATAAGCAGTTGATTATAAAAATGCATTTGCATAGAGGTAACTAAAAAAAATGCAACAGAAAACCCCTTTAAAATTGTAATTCTAATTTAGTCTAATTCTAAAGAGAATTTGTTTACAGAAATCATGCCAAAAGATGCCAAACAATATTCAAGGCTCCAGTTGAAAATATATTATTTTCTTCCCTTTAACAAACAAAAAGGCAAAAATGATTAAGAACAATGCTTCAATATTTTACAATTATTACCTTTAAAAATATATCTCCTGTAATCATTGTTTGTTTCTATTGTGACTAAATGGAAGACAAATTAATGGTTAATAACAATTATAATTTTATAATTATAAAAGTCAACCATTTTGAGCAAGAATATATATATATATAGTGATAGTGACAGAAGTGCTTATAGTAGAGATGGGAGTGATGACTGTAGAGGAGAAATTAATACAAGCAGACATGCTAAGACTGGAAGTTGGCAGTAAAGGACTGAGAGCAGATGTGGAAGCTTTTGGACGGGTTGATATTGTGGAGAGCTGATGGAGAAGGACTAAGTAATCTATGAGAAATCCTGCAAGAAGGAACAAAGAGAATGTATCACATGATGAACAACAAAAACACTGACAACAACAAATAGCAGACAACAACATTCTGTAACTGCAGCGTGTATAAAAGTAAACAGAACAATCTGTTGGTGTGGATGCTAAAATTGTTCTCATTATAGTTTTTGTTCTTGGTGTGAACAGCTTTAAGTGATCTGATTTGGCCAAATTAATTGAAGATCTGATTTGTCACGTGACAAGTTAAACTAGCATTTCCAGAATCTTGCTTCTAAGACAGATGTGTTCAATAAAAATCAACATGGAAAGAAAGGCAGACTATGAGGTGTGGACAGATATCATGTACTGTTGGAACAGGAAGAGGCGGCACCAATTTGTAAAGATTAATAAAGAATACAATGGACTTAATATAAACTTTATGATATAAACACTTACAATGGTCACAATCTGTTTGGGAGTTGAAGCAATGGCCAATGACAGCAGTAGGAGTAAAAGTCTTAGAATTTTGAACGAGTATGCTTGTGCAGTATCATATGAATTTGCAGACTTGGTAAATTGTATGAATTATTACTAATTCAACATGAGACTTTTCTGGGGGTTCTTCCTGAGGGGGCCGTGGGGTATGTAAACCAAAGTGTAAGAAACATCAAATGCTGTGCAAAATGTCTCTGTAGTAAAGTTCAGTCAAAGTGCTCAGATCGACACAGATGTACCATTGGAAGTGTTTGCTTTTGCAGCTTTTGGTCTTCTCCATAAACGCAC